GTGCATGTCGCCGTGATGAATTGTATCAATTAAATTTGAATGATATGGATTTAGGACCAAAGCTTTTGATTAAAATATCAGATAATAAAACAAAAACCGAGATTATTTGTGATAAATGAAACTTATATGCTGTATAGAAAATATATTGCATGCGGCCTAGAAAATTATAAAAGTTGCCGCTTTTTCTGTAAATTTTCAATTGGGAAAGGTTGCAGGCAAGTAGTAGTAATGCATCAGTTTGGTAAATTGCTTCAAATTGTCGCAAAATTTTTAAATTTGTCAAATGTAGGACATGCATACACAGGACATGAAGTTTTCTCGAGCCAAGTATAAAGGTCCTACACCCAATTTAAATACCCCAAAAAAATACTCTAAAAAGTATTGTTTTTTGACCCCATTTTTGCGATTTTTTCGATTTTTACCATAATAACCATTTAAAAAATTTAATTACACACATTTTTTCCTCTTCCATTTTCGCCTAAAATCAACTCTTGAGAAGATACATAATTAAATAGGAAGAAAAATATGACATTTTTCGAATTTTTTTAACACATTGTGCCGCCAAAAGTTAAGCCCACGTTTTTTTATGCGCATAGAAAAATTTTCATTTCTAGTGATATTTGAAAGCCAAAAAGCCAAAAATCTCCGTGGATATACGATTCACCCAAACCAAAACAGGTACCGCCTAGTGACTAGGCGGTATCTGTTTTGGTTTGGCTAGGCCCTAGTCTATTAATGCTGGGGCAGATTTAATCGCATTAAACAGACATGGGGGATGGAAATCTTCAAACGCGGGCGAAGGATATACAGGATTTTTTACAAATAAACTAGACATAATATTGGATAATAATTAATCATCATTCCTCGTACTGATGGTTGCTTAGCAACGAACTAAATTACTACCGGAAAAGTACACATTTCCGAGCGATTTCAGAAAAATACATCTGAATGTGCTTGTTAAAAAAAATTATGACCGACTAACACTCGGGCATTGACTAATGTCTCATAATTTAATCACAAAATTCTCAAGAAAGTTTTTAGGCAACATCTGCCACAAGTACCGTACTTTTAAAAACTGATTAACCAGATTAACTTCTCGTCAATCAACGCCGTCTGGCTATAATAACTGAAAATTAAATTAAATCATGTGCACAGTACATTCATCTCATAAAATTTTATTACCTATTGGAAAACGGTTTTATTAAACACGTTTGCCACAGAAACAATAAACCATTCCACGTGAAGTGAAATTTAATGTAATGAATTCTGTGTTATTCCAGAATATTAATTTATATACTAAAACAAACAATTTCTTAATATTTTGCACTTAAAACAAATCGAACGCTAAGCACTTGATTATAGAATACACTGTGAGTCATTAGATGTAAAAAAGTTACTAATTCTGTCTAAAACAAAGCAATTAACGGAATATCATTCAGTATAGTCTTTCCGAAGTCAGTTGAACATATAAAAAACGCCTGGCAATAAAATTTAATGAGTTTCAAAGGCGTCCCTAAAAAAGTTTTCTGATAAAGCTAAAAATGATAATAATTTGTATATAATGTGCAGAAAATTTATGTTATATGTTCATTTGGCCAACTACATATTTTAATTATTTATATCCTCAAACAATTTTATTATATTGATGGTAAATTTCGGTTTGTTCCGTTTCAAAAGGTCTCCAAAATGCCATGTTGTAATAATATTATTTCTCCCTTTTGCAATTGTAATACTAATTAATAGAAGGTGCCTATAATAAATTAAAATTACGTGAATCACACCAAATTCCGCATTGCTGCACTGCACTGCTGGGCAATTTGTCTATCACTTGTCAACGGCTGAGATTTATTGCCCAGTGGTCCAATGCAACTGTATTTGTATTTTGTTTGCCCGCGCTCGCATATGCATTTCTACCACCTCCACGTTTAGTTCGACCAGACCTGTATATAAGTATGGCTAAATAAATATACATACTGTCATCATCTTGATTCTTCAATTAATATCGGAAATACTAGGTATACCAAAATAGTTCATTAAGTTCATTAAGTTCATTATCCTCGTATCCATTTTTCGCCTAATCAGCAATGCCTGCACCATAAAGGAGATCTTCCTGTTCAAATTGTTGTGATTCGGCAGCAGCTCTCATTTTTTTCGAAAGTAGCCCTAGCAGTTAAACCGTTTCGAATTTCGCCTTAAAATTTTAACAGTGTATTCCCGAAATGTAATACTTTCGATTTGTGTAATAAAAAAATCGATTTTTCGTTCACTTTGTACGAGGATACCCCCTTAAAATTTGATAACAATAAATGAGTACTTTTGTCAGCAGCTGCCTTGATTCTGCATGTTTCAAAATTAAAACTGATTTTCAGAACATGGCTGGCTAATTTTAAAAATGATTTTTTCTCCTGCTATAATATTAATTCACATTTGATTCATTGAATAAGTTTTTTGTTAGAATGGTAAATTAACCAGATTAGCGTAACAATGTCATTGTTTTTTTTAAGGAAATGCTCCATCTTAATATCTAAAACCACAGACGCAATAAAAAGTTTTAGAATAACCACTGTTCAGGAAGATTGAATTAACACCTTGTTTCATTTTAAGGAAACATTTTTGTAGTTAGATAGGTATATTGAGTTATTGCGTTGTTTGGTCCCGAAGATGCTTCAGTTAATTTTTTGTACACCTAATTATGACCATAACGACAGAATTGTTGTAATTAATTGTATAAATATTGTAATTGGCAGTTATTAAACAATGAATTTTTAAAGCTATTGTTGCTTCTTGCATTATATAGAGGGCGTTAGAAGTTTGACTGCCTTAATTTTAACAGACGATAGAATACATTAAAATAAACAAAAAACCTTATCTGACATGGGTTCTAAACTCAACCATTTCCGAGAAAGAAACAAAGTCTTCAATTTGATGTACAAAAGTTCGATTAATTAAAGAATATTGACATAACTCCGTACATGGAATACCATAAATTACAATGTTTATCAGTTTTTTGAAATTCTCTTTTTTTAATTTAATAAATTTAAAATTCTATAAAATTCATATCGAGCAATGTGCCAACGGCGCGGCGGTTAATACGAGGTACTAAGCTGTCCAGCAATACGCAATTCAGTGGGTGTTGGTATCTGGAATTGGACCGTGTCGGAGTGTTTTTTTGAGTATAACTATTTCCTTTTTTTGGTGTTTTCCAGCAAGTACGGGAAAATTAGATTCGAAGGTGTCGTGCGTGTATCAAAAATGGTGGTGGACATTTTGAGTATATATGTTGTAGTTTGTTTTGTACTTGTGCGTTTAAAAATTACTAAATTTTGCCTTTTGGGTAAGTCCCTAAATTATTTTTAATATGTATGATTATTTGGACGACGTGAATCTTTGGGTACTTTATACTCCGCGGTCGAAATTATATAGTGTGAGTCAGACATAATATAAAAACACTACATATTACCATAATGCGTATAAAATATAAAATGATTTTTATACGGTTCAATATTATTTATCTTTGTGCCGCTCGCTACGCACATCGATAGAATCTATAATAATCGTCTATAGACTGAGTTACACTGAAAGTCGACCTATATTCTGTCTCTGTCTTTTGCACTTGGTAGGGAATAGGGAAATGCTTTTTTAGTGGGTGTAAACGGACTTGATTTACCCGTCCTGAGAAACGTCATAGCATAAGCGTAGACGAGGGGTCTAATTCCATGGCTATAATAAATTTATAAATTAAAAAAACACAACTGGGACGTTTTAAATTGCTGTAATAATTAAAATGGATCAATGTGCCGGTTATAGGAAACCGTAAAAAAATATTAGGTGTTATGTTTTATTATCTTTTTCAATATTTTCTATATCTTGTTGCCTTTTACGCAGACACGCCAATGGATTTTCGTTCCCGGCACGCTTCATCCCCCTTACTAGTCCAAAAGCTAGCGATGAGTCACACTCTATAATTTCGACCGCGGAGTATAATTATATATTTTTCAAATTGATAATTTGATTAAAAGTTAAGTTCCTGTTTTAAGAGATTCATAACTACTAAAATTCGAGCTAAAATTTAAGCACAACAGCATCTTCGTACTACAAAATCGATACAATTTATTTTATTTATTTAAAAACTGGAAAACAATTGCCTTGAAATTTACTAAATGTTTCATAATAATAGTTGTTTACATTTTTTCCGTAGGACAAGTCTGCTGCGTGCACACGTGGTGTGCTTCAGCTGTATAGCGCTGTTGTCACGTGACGAAATTCCCCAATATTAATATTCGCCGTATTTTGAAAACTTAATCTTACGCTCCTGTAATATACAACTTTTTTGGCAGTCATACTTCTTACACCCTGTATTTTATCTCAGATCCTCTCAAAAAAATCGTTAACTTTAGTATTTTACTAAACAGTTTAACAATATTGATTGTCCATTATTAATGTGTTATATTTTATTAAACTACTTCTAAATTACGAAAATCGCATATGTATTTGAAGATCTATTCACAATGTTAACAATTTAATTATTACAATTATTAAATATAGAAGTTTTAAGACAACATTATCAACATGGGTTCATGTACTTTAGAAATATCGTGTCCAGTGTAATCGCTGGATAACCTGACGTAATATACCGACTTATCTATGACCATGACATTTTAATTCGGAATCTTAATCAGTTCGGTTTTAGTGAATCCCTACTAAAATTATTTCAGTTATACACAAGAATATATTACTTAGAACGGTCATCAACCTGATTACTTTTTAGCCTCATATGTAGTTCCCCAGTGATCAAATTTCGGGCCATTGTTGTTTTTATTGTTCATAAATAACTTGACATCTGTAATACAATGTGGAAAAAATAGACATGGTGTATTGTAAACATTTGTTTGAACGTTTTCAAGTGTAAAGATTTGACATTTACACCTAAAAAAAATTCTGTTGCATCGTGTGTTTATCTTGAATGTAAAATACGTTTTGTCAGCATCTCCTTGTTTCAGATGCAAGGACAAAAAGTACCCCAAGCTTTTGCCTACCACATCCATTGTGATAGTATTCCACAACGAAGCCTGGTCCACCTTGCTGAGGACCGTATGGAGCGTCATCAACAGGTCGCCTAGGCCGCTACTGAAAGAAATCATTCTCGTCGATGATGCCAGCGAAAGAGGTGAGTGAAAGTAATCCGCGTACGAGAAAACCCGGTTGTCGTAATTGACACTTACAATTACATTTTAACGAATAGAAATTATGCTGTATCTGACATTTAAACTTTTAAATTTGTTAATCATACAGAAGGTATGCAGTTTGCGATAAATTCCTTCTTGGTGACGATATTTCAGCCTCACTTTCACCACGATATGAAATGAGCAATGCGTTGGGGTATTGTACAGGGTGTCCGGAGACTAAGAGCAAACAAATTGGAGGGAGAGTTTCTTCTACTTCTACTTTCTAGGATACCATTTAAAAAACTTGTTATTAACGATGTTACATAACCCGAAGTAATTTTTCTTACGTTAATATTTTGCAGTAACCATTTTTTATTCAACTGTTTTTTTTTTCTAAATTTACTTCATTTATAATTATTGCCAACAAACTACACTTACAGAAAAAAATCTTAAAAATTGTGTAGCCTAAACTGACTAGAAAATTGATCATAACTTTTTTGTAGTTTTTCTAAAAATGAAACGTCGTATTAGAGATGCTTAAAAAATGAACAGTTTCTGAGAAAAAAACAATGTTTTGCGACAATATTTTTCAGCCACGTTTTCTACTGCGAAATTGGCAGAACATTAAATGCATTTTTCTCGGAAACGGTTAGTCATCGACTTTGGCACAAAAAAATTTTTTTGTAAGCGACTTTTTAGTATTTAATTTTTTGGAACCACAAATAAAAAGTTACTATGAAGCCAATAAGAGTCATTAGAACCGTGTAGGCTTTTAACATATTATTTATTTTTTCATGGGGGCAAGTACCATAAGTGTACAAAATTTGAAAAAAGTCGGTCAACTGAGAAAAAGTTACGGCTAAATATTAATAAAAATATGATTTTGGAGTTGTGTTACTAAAAATTAATTTTTCTGCAAATGATTATAGAAACCATCATTTCTTTTATTTAATAGAATCACACTAAAAAATTTTTTCCACAGATCCTAAACTATTTGTATTTTTTTATCCAAATTTTGTATATAGGGTGTTAATTAAGTATGTACAATAAATTCAATAGATGATTATTTAAGTGATTTTAAGACAAAAAGTTCATATAAACATTGGTCTGCAGATACTTCGTTTTGAAAATACAGGGTGTTAAACTTTTGTAAAAAAAATGCTATTTCGTAAATATCTTAAATACCCTTTACTCACTTTTGTTGTAACTTGGCAGTGTTGTTTGCAGTGTTAAGGGGCTAATTTAAGCCTAACTTGATTAGATTTATTAAGTTCAGAGGCGTCCCGAGCGGTATCTTAATGAATATTTTTGACATAAAAATGTATGCCAATGACTTTTTTGTAATTTTTATTTTTGAATTAAGCAACTAAAAATACAACTTTTTTGTCTCTTGAATGTTTTTCGTATATTGATTAATTTTTGTAGAAAAAAAAAATAAAATTCACTTAATTGCATATCCCTGAACCACACAAGAAACATGGGGAACAGTTTCTTTTGGAAATTATCATTTTTTTATAATTTTTTATTAATGATGTAACATCTAAATAACATAAAGTACAAATAACACTGCCAAATTACAACAAAATTGGGTAAAAGGTATTTAAGATATTTACGAAATAGCAATTTTTTACGAAAGTTTAACACCCTGTATCTTGAAAACAAAGCATCTGCGGACCAATGTTTATATGAATTTTATATCTTAACATCGCTAAAATAATCGTCTGTTGAATTTATTGTACATACTTAATTAACACCCTGTATAACTTTAATTGATTTTTTTCTAACATTTGCCATTCTCTTTGTCATATATTTTTACGATTTCTGATAAGTAAAACTGTTTTTCTACAAAACTGTTAAAAGTGGGCTTTTTAATTGTCATTTTTGATGTTAAAAATGTCATTTTTTGACACGCGTGTTAAAAGTACTGGTTGCTACGAAAATATTGGTTCATAAACACTGCGATCTGTGTGGTATTTTTTGATTTCTTATTTTTATTGAGTTTAAAGTTCTTCCGATTGTTTTGTAGAAAAAATAGTGTATGATATATGTGTTAAAAGTGATTTTATTTTGTTCGTGAAGTTAAAAAACTCGCTACGCTCGTTTTTTAATCATCTTCACTCACAAAATAAAATGCCACTTTTAACACTTGTATCATAAATAACTATTTCATTGAAATTACGAGTAGTACCTATCATCAATTTTTGAAAAAATAATTTCGAAGTTCTTCTGTTATATTTTCACCAATGGTATATCATGATGATCCTATTATTGGTAATTTTGCGATTTCTCTTTATTTTTTTTATACATTCGCTCACCCAATATTACAAGGTAGTATGTAACTTCATACGTCTCTGTCACTCCCAAAATATTTCAATCTACACATACACCAATCAAATATTGTATTTTCCCTCAATATTAGGCGTGATACAAGGTTGAAAGTCAATTCTCTAGAATGCTTGTGTTACATACAACTTTATTATTTTCTCATCTCAAAATATGTAAATTTGTAACATACGACTTTGTAATTTTGGATGAGCTTGTTATCTTTGATTCATATTTAGGTATATTCCGAGTCACATCAGTCTCGTAAATCCTCTTCAATATATACTGATTACAATTTTATCCTTAGGGTCTTCCCAAATTACCTCATTATTTCTTATTTGTAAACACATCATGTTCGTATCCTTGGAGACTTACACAGTTGCGTGTACTTTGACTTCTGACGAAATTGAAAATGTTTCGTTAAAAAATTAAATTATGGGGAAGGGCAAAACAGTTCAAGATACAAGGTGTTCAACTTTATAAAGTATATAACGTTCTTTAATTGTGAAGAGAACTGATAAAACGACTTTAATATTTGTTCGCTGAGAGATCCAGATGGCGCCGCTACTTACAAATATTTTGTGTGCCGCTCTCCTATTTATTTTCACTCTTCGTATTTGGCAACACTGACAGTGATTTACTTCGTCCAGTGACGGGTTAAGTGCAGTGGCTATAGGGTCACGTATTCATTTTAATCACAAAAATACAACATAAAAAACAGAATGTTGGCATCAATTAATCTGAGGGGTTTATTAATTTGTTAAAGGAATGGATTAAATAAAAATGATTTAGATATTATTATTATTAACTTCAAAACTAACATAAGAATAGGTTGTTAACAATTATTTGTCTATTTTGTTTTTTTATGCGAACCTCAAAGTAAAAGCAACAATTTTTAACTTCCTCATTTAGAAATGCGAATAAAAAATTGATTTAAAATTTCTTAAATTCTAACATAAAAATAACGTATTGTTACCTATAAGAAAATTTAAAATAATAATTGCTTTATTGGTTTATAGTTAAAAAAAAGTGAATATGTACTTTTAATTTTAACTAAAATTCTGTTCCTACCAGTACCTAATAATAATGTTTGTAATTCATTTTTTATAATTTCTAACAACTATTTAAACATTGAAATGAATAATTAATATTAAATATTGTTAATCACAATTTGTTTATAACGAATGTTCAAAATGTCTGGCTTCGTTCTGTATAAATAGATTTACTGGTTTTCTTAAACTGTTAAATATATTATGTAATCCATATTAGCTAATTTATTTGTTATGGCATCCTTTATTTCATCCACTGTGTGTAAAAGGTTTACATATATGGAATTTTTTAACATTCCAAAAATATAATAATCTAAGTGAGTTAAGTCAGGAGACCTTGGAGGTCATAAGATCGTCATAAAATTCGCTTAGGAACTTTAGTGTTGTGTTAGCTGTGTGTGATGTTGCCCTATCTTGTTGGAAGGAACCATTGTGCACTTCGTCATCGTGTAGCTGATTTAAAAATGGCTGAAAAATGGTTTGTCTATATCGCTCAGCAGTAACATTATCTTCAAAGAAAATAGGTCCAATAATTATTCTTCGCTGAGATATGGCTATCCAAATTCCAGTTTATCTTCAGTTAAAACTGACTTTCTTCCATGTGACTTCCCTTTACAAATAACTTCCAATATTTCTGAATCATGTCGCTAAACGTCGAACATGCTGAGCAAAAATGTTATAATCTGCTGCCTCATGATTTGCAAATTCTTCCTGAAATTGCAAAAAAGATGAATGCATTGAATAACTCCGTCCATTTTCATCTCGTTGACCTGTTCGAAAGTAAGCTTCTACAATAAATTTATCGTCTTCTAACGAAAATACTATTTTCTAACCTAAAACAGTTCGAGTATTTTATATTTAAGAAACCATCAGTATTTGCTTCCTTATCGCAAAACTAACAGTTATCAAATGAATAGCGTAGAAAAACACTGATTATTTAGAAGAATAATGATAAATTCAAATAAAAACAGTCGGCGAACACAAATAAATACAACAGCAAGCACACGCGGGAAGCACGGACTTATCTGAATTGACAGATCGTGTCGGTTGGAAATCTAAGAAAACGGAAAGTAATTTTGATCAAATGGAAGTAAATTTTAATGTATTTGGCGTGTGGCGTCTGCCTCAATCATTCTGGATCGCTCGGTATATTTTATTTAAGATATAGCTTTAGTTTTAGATTTTCCTCAGATTTATGACCATACAGAGATGTAGCTCAGCGGGTTGATTAAGAATTTAATTATTATTTTTTTGGTATTTTCACATTTTTGACCTACGATTATGGTATAAAGTGACTGAAAAATCCTTTTTAAAATAGAATGTCAAAATGTTCCGTGTATTGGTCAAGTATTCTAGATACATCCTGTAATGCCGTAAGAAACAGTATCTTATGTGCCTTATACCTGCCAGATTCCGCTGCAAGTTTCCCTATGTCGAACACGTAATTTTTCCATTTCGATAATTTCTACAAACGGCACGCAACGACCTGATTTGAATTACAAATGCCCACAACCTACTATATCATTCACGGGCAATATTGGTCGAATTATTCATTCATCGAATTTATCGTTAGCGATGGTAATGCGATATTCGTAGCAAAACAAACAGCTCCGTAAACATAGTGACCGCCT